CTAATATGGGTTTTATTATTTCATTTCACATTTAATTAACTTTGTATCGAGACCTGAAGATGCTTTGCATATTGTAGAAAGCGAAACCGGTCGTCTAGATAGTTAAATTAAACTAATTGTGAGTAAGTCTTATTTATTGTTTCTTTTACCTATTTGAAATGGACTCACACAAGCAACACACAATGCTGCACACTTTGATAACGCTAAGTAATAGTGTCGAGTGGAAAGATTTATTCATGACTGTAGTTTATAATATCAAGTTCAAGTTTATACTTCAAACAGACATACGACTCAGTCAAAAGGAACAAACTCTACAATATATTGACTGAATTGGCAATACCACACAATCTAATTAGACTCATTAAAGCCACAATGGATTAAACTCAGGCATGTGTACGAATACAAAACCACCGGACAGACATTTTCAAAATTTCGCAGGGAGATGGGCTGGCCCTAACTTTGTTTAATCTGGCATTGGTGTATGCGGTTAGCCCCAAACTGGACGAGGAAACCTACTGACCAACCGAACGGTTCAACTCCAGACTTATGCCTGATGAATTATTATGATGATATCAATATTATGAGTAGAACATCAACAAGAGCACAGGAAACACATAAGCAGAGTTAAAAACGCAAACAAAAAGGCTTACTTACTTACTTACTTACTCCGTGGCGTTACAACCCTTCGTGGGTTTTAGCCGACTTGACAACATGCCTCCACTGTTTTCTGTCTTGAGCAACCTCCATCCAATTCTCCACGCCCATAGTGCTTAGGTCTCTTGCTATATTATCTCGCCACCGGAGACGAGGGCGTCCGCGTGGTCTCCTTCCAGTTGGGACTTCCTCCCACACCAGTCTTACTGTTCGTTCGTCAGAATGTCTTCTGAGGTGTCCTGCCCATTGGAGTCTTCTGGACTTTATTTCTTTTATGATGTTGGCGTCTGGGTAAAGTTCTTCAAGCTCTTTATTAGTTATTATCCTATATTGTCCTGATCTTTCATCAAGCACCGGACCAAAGATCTTCCTTAGGATTTTTCTTTCCCAAACACGTAGTCTCTCTTCATTTGCCTTTGTTATCGTCCACGTTTCGCTTCCATACATCACAGCGGGTCGTATGATTGTTTTATAGATCTGTATCTTCGTACGTCGTGTTAGTTGTTTTGATTTTATAAGGTTTTGGAGGGCAAAAATACATCTGTTGCCGGCCTGAATCCTGTTGTTTATTTCTTGTGATCCGTTATTGTCTTCAGTTATTGTTGTTCCAAGATACTTGAATTCTCTAACGCGCTCAAAGTTAAAGTCATCGATGGTAATGTTCTGACCGATTCTGTCTCTGCTTTGGTTATTGCGGCTCATATACATATATTTCGTCTTGTTTTCGTTGATTTGGAGCCCCATCTTCTCTGCTTCCTTCTCAAACCTTACGAAAGTCTCCTTCATCCTTAATCGCGTGTTTCATATTAGATCTATATCGTCTGCAAATGCCAGTAGTAAGTTTGGTCCTTCTCGATGAAATACTGTATTCGGTTTTTCGATTCTTGCACTTCTGATTATGTGCTCCAGAGCTAAGTTGAAGAGTTGTGGTGAAAGTGCATCTCCCTGTTTTAGTCCATGGTTTATTTCAAATGTCTCCGAGTATTGTTGTCCAACTCTCACGTTACATCGTAACCATTCCATACATATCCGTATCAACCGGACTAGTTTTTTGGAAAGCCAAGTTCCTGCATCGTTGTCCACAGTCTGTCCCTACATACTCTATCATACAAAAAGGCTAGGTCTAGAAATTAACACAAAAAAATGATACAGACGAGAAGAAATATAGTCCAACAAAACATTATACATGAAGATGACATTGAAACGGTTGGAAAGTTAACATACCTGGGAGTAGAAATATATGCCGATGGATCAGAAGATAGAGAAATACGGAAGAGAATAACGCAGGCCAACAGCTTATTTTGCCCTCTCCCATATAATTCGGTCTAGAAATGTCCACCGAAACACAAAGATGAGAATATATAAAACCTAAATACGACCGATAGGCAGCCTATGGCAGTGAAGCATGGGTCCGGAAAGAAACGTCCAAAAGAAAACTCGACACATTCGAAAGGAAAGTACCGAGGAGAATACTAGGACCTGTGAGGGAAAACGGAATCTTCAGAAGTCGATACAACGAGTTTTTTCAACTTTATAAGGAAGCACCACTATCAGACTTAGAAAGTGTTGGAAACCATTGTGATAAGAAAGAGACCGGTTGGAAAGCCAAGAAAGCACTGGGAAGACACAGTAAACAGCAACGCACAAGCCCTTTTAGGAGTCCGTGTATGGAGAAGATCAGCCACAGACAAGAAAGAGGAAGGCAAAAAATAAAGGAATCCAAAGATCTATAAATCTGTAAAAAATCTGTAAAAAATAAATGTTTATAATTTTTTATTGAAAGGATACTGGAAATATTATACAACAAAAATTTTAATTAAGTTTACTACAGCCTAATCTGTGGAAACTGGCTGGCCTATAATGGCTTAGATATTTTAAAAATAATGTAACAATTATTTTGAATATTGCCCGAATTTAATGAAATATTTAAGATAATAGGTTCGCCCTTAATTTTCGCTTGAATGATTACTTGACAAATATGATCATCATCATCGTCATTTTGGCTTTACAACCCTGTGTGGGTCGTAGCCTCTCCAAGATTTTTTTTCCAGTGTTGTCCCTATCCGTTGTCTTCCTCCGCCAAGCACGTATTTCCATATTTCTCATATCTTGGTCTATGTTATCTAGGAATCTTGTTCTGGCTCTTCCTCTTCTTCTTTGACCAATAGGTCTATCAAGGAGCGTTTTTATAGCTGGGTCGGTTCGGTTCGGTGAGTTCGAAGTTGTATCGTCTTCTCCAGACACCATTTTCATTTACCGCTCCATAGATTCGCCTTAGTATTTTTCTTTCGAAACATCCTAACATGTTTTCATTGTTTTTTGTTAAAGTCCAGGTTTCTTAACCATATGTTAGGACTGGGCGTATTATTGTTTTGTAGAGTTTTACTTTTGTATTTCTTGATATGACAAATATGATCACTTGTTTAGTTTTCCCGAGACCATCCTTAATCCATTTTTTTTTCGGCAAATGTTTTCTATCAGGTTTTTTGTCCTGCCCACTCAAACCTCCATAGCCATACGGTTAATTGTCCCATTACCAAACACCTCCTATCTAGCGGTTTATGTGAAAAAGTCTCGTGATATCTATACGATAAAATATTAAATGTACAACATGCAACATAAAAATGGTTTCAGAACGTTAATCAGTTACCGGGAAATATATTGCCTCTTTTTTACACCGTGGCATATGTCAATATCAACGTATGTTGATATTTGCTACCTATAAGGGAAGCAAGAATACTAAAGGCTACTAAATTTTTGCAGTAGGATGGATCTCGATAAAACTTTTTGCATTCGATTCGTATCAGTGTCAGGAAATTATGAGAAGAAAATGATGATGTGGAAATGAAAATTACGTTATTAAAAAAGGAAAATACATTTTCCAAAGTGCATTTCGATGTGATGAAAAATGATGAATTTATAAATCGGCAATAATTGACGGAAATGAGTTCAATATAACTACTCGGGGATTTTTTGGGTCACTGAGCACTAATATCAGAACGGCGATGTTCTCCGATGCACCTGATGCATCTGGGCCTCATCGGGAGTTTTTTTTTTAAATTCGATACAAAATCAGTGCAAACTCATTACTAAGGGATTTTTGAGCTCGCTGAACACTAATATCATATCGGCGATAGTATACGATGCACCTGGTGCCCAGGACGTACCTCGTCTCCTGAGAGTTTTGTGGAAATTCGATGTAAAATCGGAGCAAACTCTAAACTCGGCGGTTTTTGGGGTCGCTGGATACTAATATAATGTAGACGATAGTGTCAGACTCACTTGGGACAGCCCCGGGGCCTGAAGTTTTGTGTAAATTCGATACAAAATCAGTGCAAACTCGTTACTCAGAGGGTTTTTGAGTCGCTGATCACTAATATCATATCGACGCTGGTGTCCGAGATACCCTGGCTCAGAAGAGGGCTCGTCTGTTCAAGTTCGTGCACTGGAGACCATCACTGTTATCATATTTGTGATCAGCGATCCTAACGCCCGAGTAACAAGGTTGCACTGATTTTGTATCGAATTTCCACAAAACTCTAGGAGGTCAGGCCCGTCCTGTCACCAGGTGCCTCGCACATCATCGCCGACATGATATTAGTGTTCAGCGACTACAAAACCCCCCGGTAATGTAACGGGTTTGCATTGATTTTGTATCAAATTTCCACAATACTCTAGAAGACGAGACCGTCCTGGGCACCAGGAGCATCGGAGACCATCGCCGTCATTATATTCGTGATCAGCGACGCCAAAAACTCCCGAGTAACGAATGTGCACTGATTTTGTATAAAAGTGCCATAAAACTAAAGAATAGTCCCGTTCTGGGCACAGTTGCCTCAAAGATCATCGCAGACATAATATTAGTTTTCCACGCCAAAAACCTCCGAATAACGAGTTTGCACTGATTTTGTAACGAATAACGAATTTACACTGATTTTATATCGAATTTCCACAAACCAATTCTAGACGATTTGTCGTGATATTCGTGACACTCAGTGACCTCAAACCCGTCAATTACTTCCGAATTACCAATTTATCATTTTTCATCACTTCGAAATGCACTTTGAAAATGCATTTTCCTTGTTCAATAATGCAATTTTCATTTCCACATCATCATTTTTGCTCACAAAATTTCCTGGCACTCTTACGAATTGAATACAAGTTTAATTGAGATCCATTCCACTGCAAAAATTTTGTAGGTTTTAGGGTTTTTACTGCTTCATTGCCTCGCCTACCGTGAATGAAGCTTTTATGTCATTCAGATTATGTCATATTTTATCCTAACTCGATAATTAGTTCCATTAAAATAGAACCTACTTTAATATTAAAAAACAATAAAAAAATAGTCCAGTTTACTTTCAGATTTAATATCGAACATAACAATATCAAAACCATATACTAAGAATAGACAAATGACTACAAAAAAATGGAAGCTTGCATCGAATAGATAGCACAATTCCATGGTACCATTTTGTTTGGTATCAAATGGTTAATGGTACGTACAGAAGACCAAAGTGGTAGGATTATCTACATCATGTACTTAAGTTACAAACGATTTTTTTAATATTCAAACCACTTGTGGGAAAAATTATACCATGCCAAACAACAGCAATTCCTCTTGTTAAAAAAATCATAGGGTTTGTTGAAATTAATATTTAATGGATCAAAGTTTCAATGCAGTCAGTTTTTTAATTAATTCCCAAACGCATAAATTTTACCACTCATCATATATTTACAAATATATATCACCATTGCTTCATATTACAGCCACTAAATTAAATGTAAATACTGAATTAAAAGAACAATTTAAATGATCCAGATCTATATTATATTAACAAAAATATTCCAGCTCGAGACAAATTTAAATGACATACAATAAATATTATTGGCATTATTAGTATTTTTTGTACTTGTGGACATAAATTATCTTTTTTATGAATACTTTCAGCATTTGAACTGCCAATACCGTTCATCTAAACAAATCAATGAGAGAATATTAATACCTATAATAGTCAAAATTCAATAAGTGTCCAAAACCGCGAAGCACGTCACATCTCTTTTCGCACTTTTAGTCACTAAACACCAAGTTTGTTTCTATTAATTTAATTATTTTTCATGTTAGCCATTAACTCTCTTCTCGCTTTCTTCTTTCTGCAATCAGGACAAAACCATTGTCCTTTGGGCGGAACCATGATTCCGACGCATTCGAAATGGAACCATTCGATTTCACAATCGGTAGCATCACAGCCGATCATCTCCGATACCTTTAAAATAAACACGTTAAAATGTAAATGTACATATATAATCATTTAAAAATAGAAGTCTCTACTTCATTGGCCATTAAATTGCTAAAAAAGTTTAAATACGGAAAATGAAAAAGAGATCCTTGAGAACAAAAGTGAAATGCTAATTATAAAAATGTTATAATAAAAGTAGGTGATTCATAATGAATGGCCAAATTATTCAACAATAATTTAATAGGTCTGTTCCAACTCGTCCAGAAACCGTACAATGTAGTCACGCTTCTACACAATTCATAAAACGCGTTCCAACTGAAAACGTTCATCGTACCGTCCCTTTGGCGTTTCAACGCAACTTGTTGTGATTGTTCAATGTTTTTAAAACCGTCATTTCAGTACGCGGGCAAAATCTATTATCGTTTGGACTGACCTGCGCATTAAGCGGTATCATTACACGGTATTAAAATTACACACATTAAATACACAAAAATTTACAGCAATGAAAATGGAACTATTTTTGCCTGATTTAAAATATTATTTTTTCGTCAATTAGATTATTTTTTGCTAACTTTGTGTTTCTTCTTTCAGTTATTTATTTTTTTTTTTTTTTGACATGTGTATTTGGTGTTGATATACATTTTTATGTCCTACAATTTCATCAATTTCCTTCTCACACTTAAAATTTATTTATGGCCTCTACCTACAGTTGTGCACATTATAATAAAATATAAATACAGTAGACTCCTTCTTAACCGGCCACCTCGAGACCAGAACCTGGCCGGTTAATCCGATGTGCAGGCATTTTCATGAGAAAAATCAAGTACATACATACATATCGTCGTCAACACAAGAAAAACTCGTAACTCCATTTTCCTTAATTTTTCAAGAGAGCCTAAAAACAGTAACATATTCACGGATATCTTTTATTTGATAAAGAAAGTTGAAAAAAAAAAGCTAAAGGATATAGCTAAAAATACAGAAAATTTGGAGTTATTGGTTATCGATTTATAAAAACATATTATCTGACACACATAAAAAATATCCTAATAATGAAATACAGACCAATACTTTTGTAAAAGGTTTAACATAAAATTTAGTGTTATTTAAGTACCTACGTTAGAAATGAAAAACAGCCTCACTTTTCAACAACAATAAATAAAAATTTTATCGCATACATATGTACAAAAACAAGTGTTGTACACAGTGATGTGATAGGACTTAAAATACCAATTTTAGTGAGGGAGATTCTCATAAAATGAGTGGTAATCGAAATCAAGGGTATTTTTTAAATACTGCAAATGTTCGAATTTGTCTTTTTTTAATGGGATTCTATTTGTGTAAAGCTTCGGCAGATCTGCGAAATTCTTGGGTATCATATTCTGATTTATTCAACAAGGCAGTTCAATCCAGTTTTCACCAAATCCCAACTTGTAATGAAAACCTTGTGGTGAATATTTTGTAGCTCTAATATTGGTCACAACTGCACCCTTTTTTTACCCGGTTGGATTCTGCTTGCATAGTTTACTGCTCTGAAGTCCTTAAAAAAATCATGGTATAGTCGAGTTACTACAAACGGATTTTCCTTTTGCATATTTGTGTGCAATCACCGGGCAGATTAATATCGCATCCTCTCAATTGCACTGTGCATCATGTCGGGGTGTGCGTACCCTCCATTTGGGTGTGCCTTTTCTCAAGGTATTTTTATATGTAAAATCTGTAAATCTATTGTCAATACAATGCTTTCACTGTTTTTATCTTTAATTTTCTCAACTCTTGCCTCTTGCTTTTTCAACTGATGTTCCCTAAATGTTTCTTGGTCAAGATTTCCTGTTTTAAAAGAGACACATATTTCACGCAAATCTTTTTTGGGTCTATACAAAATCAACCTGTTTTCCAGAAAAGCGTTTTTCAAAAAGAAGAAAAAGATAGACTGTTAATTCGTTTTTTAGGTACCATTCGTTTTTGTAAACATGGTGAAGTTGACATTTGCTTTGCCATAATGGTTCTAGATATAATTTACTAGTTGATTCCCTGCAATAATGCGATTCCATTTTCGGCAGGCTATCTAAAAAAATTATAAAGATTGTAAAGCTCCTTTTTGTGAAGTCCTTTAGGCGCTTGTTGTGGTTCATTATACAAATTTTCTGTAATAGCAGAATTATCTTCTTGTTTGCAATTCATAACAAACCAATCTTTACGGCCCAGAGTTGACAAAAACTTTTTTTTTCTATCTCTCTTCCGTTTTGGTGCTTCAAATACTACCAACGTTTTGATATAAATTCTCTTTTCTGCCCATGTACATGTCCAGAACTTATTAAAAGCATGTTCCAAAACAACAAATCCCTCCTAAACAACAAATCAAATCAACGGCAATAATCACGTAACTGACTTAACAGAAAATGCGCGGAGTTACGTGTTTTACAAAAATAATTTTTGACCAGGGAGATACCTGCTTTTCTAGTAAACATTTTAAAATTAGAAATCTACATTTAAATGACGTATTATTTGTCGGATGGCTAGAATAGGCGATTTGCTAATAGATGGCAGTAAAATCTCATTTTAATTAAAGATTGGAGTTAATCGGTTTTCTTGTGTCGACGACGATATATCAAACACATGTACAGAAAGGTATATATTAATAAAGATCACGGACTATACAGTTGAAAAATACTATTTATTTCTATGTATACATATATACATAATTAAATATTTTACAAATTTGTTTTAAAAAAAAATCGGTAACTTTCTTCTGTTTCTTGACGTTAAGTGAATTTTTAAAAGCTATATCTCTCCATTTTTTAAAAACCAAGACGTCTATTGAGGATGACTCAGGTTGTTGTTCAATATACTTCAATGCCACCTTAAATACTTAACGAAAGTAGAAACAGGAATTTCTTGGAAGGCGGAAACTAACGTGTAAATTACGTCCTTTAAGTTAATTATTTTGATGATATCAATAAGATTGAGATCTTTTCAAGCTGTCAATCACCCCTTGATCCATCGGTTGCACCGAGCTTGCCACATTAGGAGGAAGAAAGATAACTTTTATGTCATCTATCTCACATATTGTTCTGAAGCTATTTTCTTGTGGCATTTTAAATTAATTACTATTTAACTGGGAATAAGCCACAATTAAAGATAAAAATACGTTTATTAAAAATATTTATTATAAACATATTTTTATCTTTAATTGTGGCTTATTCCCAGTTAAATAGTAATTAATCTATCTCACATGTTAGGTTTCCAGAATGAGATAGAGCATTATCCAGAAGTAGGACTGCTTTAGTGGGAAGATTTACGCTCTTGAGATGGAGCGTTACTGTCGGAACAAATTCACGCTCAAACCATTCTGTAAATAGATCAGCGCTCATCCATGCTGATTTTTGTTATCTGTAGAATACGGGGAGGAACGATGGATGTAAATTTTTAAATGTACGCGGTTTAGCGGACTTACCAACAACGAAATGTGTGTTCCTGCTGCATTTGAACAAACAGTATCTGTAATGCGCTCTTTATTCTTTTTAAATCCAGAAGCCGATTTTTCATGACTTCCCAAAAATGTTTTTTCTGGAAGCATTTTAAAATTGAGATTCGTCTCATCCATGTTATATACTTGTTCGGGTTTTAATTTTTCCATTTTTATAATTTCTACAAACTTGGAGGTAAAATCGGTTGAACCTGAAGCGTCCGCGGACATTTTTTCTCCACTTACGTGTGCATAATTAACTCCGTGACGTGCCTTCCAGCTAGTCAGTCAACATTCACTTGCAATAAATTCGCCTCCGTCGATAATGTTGCTGTGTATACATAAAGCCTTTTCCCTTAGAAGCGGGCCGCTAATAGGTGTGCCCCTTCGCCGTTCTTGAGGGAACCACAACCAAAGACCTTCATCTACTATCTCGAAGTTCGTTTTTTTTAGTGCATCTAGTTTTTAGACTTTTATCTAACTCCATTTGGGCGCAGAAATCCTCGATTGGACGCCGATCCCTTCGCCAGTCATTCACAGCACTTTTCCTCGCATTCAACTCGGAACAAATTTTTTTTACCGATTCACCTTTGTCGAGAAGTTTAAGCACACAGACGTTTTTCCATCGTCACAACCACACGTTTGCGCTTCTCATTCATTTTCGCACAAGACGAATTCAATTCTCTTCGAAAACAAAAACAGAACTGACAACCGAGCGAGGGCCCAGATGCGAGAGACGATCATCAAGCGCCGCTTGATGATCGTCTTGTACGCAGGACAATAGGAAGAGGGAATAGCCGGCCGAATAATACGACGGCCGGCTACTGCGGGACCGGTTAAGAGGGAGTCTACTGTATTCATATTCAATAACAAACTTGCCCGCTTTATTTTGACTATCTTCAAATTTCTTGTAATTACTTTCGAGCACCCTTCTACGATTTAAACAATTATTGGATGCAACTTTGAGATATCATTATCATTTAAATATTAAGCTATTTTTAGCCACAGTACTCTGGTATTTCTGATTTTTAAAGTATCAATATTGTATTTGTATTTTATATATAAATCTAATAATAATTTGGAATCGTTTTCGTTCCATTTATAATCAAAGTTGATTTTTGTGTTTTGTGAAGATGGTCCTGGTATGGATAGATCAAAAATTATGTATCCTTATAAATTTGCAATTTATAAATACATAATATTAATTTAATATTATGTAGGTATTATTATAATATTTTATCTAACAAATATTATACATTTTACGTTTTAAAGAAACAGGTTAGAATCTCGTTAAAATAAGCAAAGAAAAACAAGTGGAAAGCAAACAACTAACTGATTGTCCTTGTTTGTTTTTTTTTATTTGTTTTAAACAAATGGGAATAATTCAAAGAAATAACCAGTACTTAGGTCAGTATCAAAATCCGTTCCAACACGTCTCCACTTCGCATCGTAAGCCAACACTGCAAAGTCGAAGCATGCGCATAAAATCGATGCCAAACGTGTGTCGTGACGGTTTTATAACAGTACAAAAATGGCGTGTCGGAACAAACTTATAGAGTCTATTATATAAACAGACCAGTAGGATTCAGAGGATATAATAGCTGTCCAGTAAAATATCACTAAGTATATTACTTTAGGTTTTCCACAAGGATCTGTCCTTGCACCATTACTTTTTAATATCTATACACTAATATACACCGTGAAATGCATAGAATTTTTCCCGGAGCTACGTACCTCATCGTATGGACATTGGCAGTAACAGTAGAGTTGTGGCTGCGCAGGTTTGGGCGTCACACTAGGCTCTTCGGAACTAGAATCGTTAGAATCGCTCTCACTGTCTCCATCTCCTCCAAGATGCCGGGTACCCAGCAGTCGAATTGGCGGTATACTCGGCTTTGGCCTTGGTCGTTGCACCCTAAAATCGCTGAGGTGAGTTCCCGTCCGAATCGAAATAGGTTCTATAGTCGGTTGGGGGGGAGGAGGGGTTGGCTGAGCCCTTATCGTTATTGGAGGAACTACTAAAGGTGATCGTGGAGTTTGAGGTGTCTGAAATAATAATATTTATTAGTTGAGTTGATGCAAAGAAATGTAATGACTTACTCTGAGGTCATTCGTTAGAATAACAAATTTGCTAACTACAAGATACAATTAAAAAAGTCATAGAGTTCACAGAAACCATGTAACAAATTAAAAAATTAATTTAAACCAAAAACCTGTATAAGTTACACATCATAGTTTCCTCCTCCTCATTGACACTTCTTTTTAGGCTTAATAAATAGGACAAATTCTGTGTCAGCGTTTAAGGTCTGTATTATACCAATATAATATCTTATATATTTTTTATTCAAATTTACGTGTCTGGGCGACGAGGTCATTGAAACGATGTCACTATAGTACAATATAAGAATATTCCAAATACAGTTTAACATTTGACATAATACACATTATTTAATTTTTACAAATTTGACTATTATACATCATTACACTTCATGAGTTTATATTTACAGACTTGCGTATTTCTGTTTCATTCGTATTTCTTGTATATTATTTCTCAACTGGTGTTGGTATTTTATTTTAGTAGAAAGATGTTTACGTTCTTTTGAGGAAATATTTGACGGTTATGGGGCTGCTGCAATGGCCGTCTGCAGGTAGATTGGTAGATGCCATAAGAAAGCCGATATCATAAGACTAGCAGTTGTGTTCTAATGAGCTTGCCCTTTTCCTAAAAGTCCTGCACGTGAAGGTACCCAGACAATAGTGACAAGTACTTCATTGTCACTAGAGGATGATTGTTTGTATTGATGATAGGGAGTCTGTGCAAATCGCTACATTGCGGTCAGTTGGTTCCAACATACGAAAAACCTCGACGATACCATACGAACCTCCAGTGTATACATTACAAACGGCAGGAAGTCTGATTAGTTTTATAGTGGTAAAAGATGTAACAAAACCACTACCCACCCTAACCTGTATCATTTTTAGAGGCATCTGTATAATTTTATGAAACTGATTTCCATTAAGTATATCTAGGAACGATTGTTTAATTACAGCTTTAGGAGTATCATGTTTATTGAAAGAGAAAATGGAGGTATTGACATTCGGAAGTTGCTTGTGCCATGGAGAATGTGTAGAGATATGTAAGGTTGAAGTTGGAGAAAGATAAAAAGGAGAGAATTTAGTATACGAGAGAGAGGTTGAGCAGCTCTAGTAGTCTGAGGATGTCGGATGGGATTATTTGGTTGAATACATAGTTGGTAGGCTGGGTTTCGTGGATTAGCTGATAAGCTAGATGAATATGACAAAAGACATTGCCTTCTTAACCAGAGTGGCGGTTTGTTAGCTTCACAGTACATGGTTTGAGCTGGGATAGACCTCTAAGCAGATTCTAAGATCCATATTGTAGAAGGAGTCAAAAGCTTTCAGATGTTACTTGGAGGGAACATAGAAAAAACTACCATAGTCCATTTTGGAGCGAATAATGTATCTGTAAACTGCAAACAATACCTCTTCGTCAGCTCCCCATTGAAAATGTGCTAGACTTTTTAAAATATTAATATTTTTTAATATTTTATTTTTATATTTTTTAACATTTAATTTTTTTAACCGATTTGTTAATTTGTTTAAATACTATTTTAAATACATACTACAGAGCCTAACGAAAAACGTTAGATGATATTGTGCGTCTTTCTGGTTCATCTAGTAAGGGCTGTATACTACCACTAACGGCTTCTTCAATTTTACGTTTATTTTTTATTTGTTCTAAGTTTTCTTTTTTATGTATTCATTGGGTTCCAGAAACATGCAAAAGGACTGAACCAGTAGTATCATAGTAGGTGGTAATAAACTATTTCAAACGAACAACACATCCACGTAATTATGATTGTTAACAAGAACTTACTACATTTTCTGAATAGCTGAATAGCATGATGCTGTAAACTCATACATCTTTGTTCTTTCAGATCGCAGTGAGAAAAGGTCTATGAGGTCAAACGACCACCGTTGAAATCTGGAATCTCTGTCTCTGATATATGTAATGAATCGAGAGCGGAATATATGCAAAGTAAATATAGATGCATATACTGCATATCTTTTATATTGTCACACATTGCATATTTAAGCTAAGCACGATTTATTTTGCATATTTTAAAAACAAATTATATAAAATTTCCATTTATTAGTTAGAATTTCATAAATTGGATATGAACGAGCTCATATCTATCGCTCAACATATATCTGGACTGTCCCATTACTACCTGAATTTAATAATTATGGTTTTCCAAGAAGAAGATTATTTTATTAGCGTAGCAAGTCGTAGGTACCTACCTGCTTTTATGGGTTTAAATAGTTTGTCAGTTTCCGGCAAACATTTGTTTAAAGTTAACGTTGTATCGTGTTTAGTGTTTTTGAAGTGTTTGGTATATATTAAATTTAAATATGTATACCATTCGAAAAAACGCTTGGTTAAGGCTAAGTGGAAATAAAGTATTTTGTAAGGGCAAAATCGTACTTTACATGCATTGTCACATTTAATTTCTTAAGTGAGGAACCGACAAACAAAAGCATCGTGTCCCACAAAAGGAATTTTCCATGAAAGATAATTTTTATTGGACAAATGCTCTTTTACTTATATAAAGACGGACATAGAGAGAAGCAACAAAATACAAAATTCATTAAACTGTAGACAATTCCACCTTTCTCATTCTCTCTCCTGATGCCAACCATAATGTAGCTTCTCCTTTTTAAAAATTTTAAACTGTTTGTCCTTGTGTAGTGTAGTATAATGTACAAAAGATCATTTATTCGAGAGTTCTTCGAGCTTATATCAATTCCTATTTTGTTATTTAGCTACTCATATAAAAATTTATTTCTTTTTGGTGCTTGAACGTTTTTTTTTTTCTATACATTCTCTGTTTTTAAGTCGACCAACATTTAAAAACTGCCACAAGCTGAAGCTAAAAAAGATTGCATTTGGACCCGCGCATATTTCAGCAGTCGATTCATACATATCTCTTCAAGATGTTCAAGATCAAGATAAATAAGAAAAAAGCAAAATGTTTAATGAAGATATGTGTAAAGCTCTGGTAGCAGCAAACATTCCGTTAAAAAATATTGCAAAATACACATTTTAGTCAATTTTTTCAAAAATATTGTAAGGACAGAGTAAATGAGGAAATTAAAGTTTCTTTAAGCGATAACAACTTTTAAGTAATTGTCGATCAAAGTACATATATACAAAGTTCAGTACTTATAATCAGCACCTTAAAAGAGGATAAACCAGGAAAACCTTATTTAATAGCTGCAAACCTGGAAAAAAAAACCAATAATATGACTAAACCGTTTCATTCAGTAAACACTCTGTTTTCTTTTTACTCAAGAAATAAAAAGTAAAAAGTTCATATTTTTATCATAAAAATGTATTTTTCTGATTATTAAAAACGTATTTTTGAAAACATCTTTTCGTCTGCAAATCTATAAGGAAAAATTCCTAGGGCCTCCAGAGCCCGTAATTGCAAGATGAGGAACGTGGATTAAAGCAGCAATTTTTACGCAAATAATTTTGATGTCATAAAAGACGTATATGCTTACAAAAGAGGTTTGTATAACTATTTTAAAACAGTCTTTTATAATGCGGTAAAAAAGAAATAATACAAAATCTAAAAATTTAGCTGACCTTAAACCATATGTAAACTTTATATTATAAATCCTACTTACATCAGTTTTACGCCATTTTGGTGCCGGCTTATCTTGTTCTTCGTCGCTAGAATATCCATAGAATTTATTGGGTACCCTACGACGTTTTGACGCCCTCAAACTAGACTCAGACGAATCTCTCCTGCTATACAGAGACTCAGTTTGTACTTTAGAGTAAGGTGCTGTTTGAACTGGCGTAGATACTGAAGCTGAAGGACTAGATATTGGAGAAGTTTTAGGAATTGTTAAGGTAATTGGGGCTACAGTGAGCGGCTGCGGTTGGATTTGCTGTTGTTCTTCTTGCTGTTGTTGCAGCTCCTGTTGCTGTTGGATCTGCTGATGGAATTGTTGGTAATATGGTGGAATGGGTATATCTGGTGAGATAATATTATTTGTAATTTCTTCACCAACTTCTATTGGTTTCTTCTCGGCCTTCCTCTTTTTTTTCTTTTTCGATTTTGATTTCTTCTTCCTTTTTTCTTCCTGTTCCTGTTCTACGACTTCCGGAGGTGGCGTGGGTGGTCTGCTTGTGCTTTCTATAAACGAGCCATTTGGAACATTATTTGGACCCATTAATTCGAGAAGTTGTTGGCGTTTCTCTTCGAGAATCTTTTTGGCCAGCAAGTGTGGAGCGATGTCATAGAATTCTTCATCCGTATCACTTTCTGTCGTTTCCAAGTCTGATTCTCGGATAGGGGTTTCAATAATTACGGGAGCAGAATCCGTTACCACATCAACTTTGGTAGCTAAATTAGAAAATAAAGTACATAATTAGATTTACGTAATATATTTCATGTGTAGAGAATTAAATGACAAAATAAAATTACACTTTCAATATACAGGATGCGGCATTAGTGCAAGGAAGTCCTCTTTCAATTACGTAAGGAACTCTCTCCAATAATGCACATTAAAGCTTTTGTTGATAGTCGTTGATCTCTCAAAAAAGCTATAACGATTATCAAAAGATCTCTTCCAATAAAATCATTGTTAATGTTTTGAGGTAAATAGAAATTAGTAAATATATACACATACCTTTTTCTTGCTGTTCTTTCAGTTTCTTCGCTCTCTCTTTCCTCTTTTGCTTCTTCGCCAACTGCCTTTTTTTACCTTCTTCGGAAGAACTTTCAGAACTAGAGCTATCTGACGATGAACTGGAGCTACCTGAACTTGAACTACAGCTACAATTCGAACCACACGAACAACTAGATGAGTCCGAATCACTGCTACTACTACTCGAGGAGCTGCCAGGTTTTTTATCTTCTTTTACTTCTACCTTTGGGGGTTCCACCGGTTGTTCAGGTATTGGTTCCACTTTTTCTTCTTCTGAAATGAAATACAGAATATGGCATTTGAACACATGTATGTAATATTGGGTAAGGTATATAAAGAAAACAGAACTAATGGAAATGGTGCATAATTGACACAAATTGCATAAAAAATTATGACAGAATGGAAATTACTGCACAACGTAAAAACAGGATCTATATTGTTAATTTATAATATATAAGTAAATGGTTGGCTTAAAAATTCTAATTAAATGTGAAGAATAATAAAGATTGTACAGTTCTCATAAAAAATTTGTAAGCATTTAAAAAGTAACAGTTGGGAGCAAAAAGGAATATCTTTAGCAATCTCTAGCAATCTGAATAAGTTAGTGATTTTACATTCATTTTTTAATGAATCTCCTCTTCGTTCTTCTCATTTTCACTCTTTACATTTTTACCTTATTTTTCGTCTCTCCGCCAACCCGGATCTTATTGTTACTATATTATAGGATTCAAGATTGGACTGGTATAAGAATAACATTTGTTCCTAATTAAGACCACTACTCTGCACAAATTCAGCTAATTTTTTTGACTCCAGGCAATCATCATAAGGTATTTGACAATGCCGAACTCCATTATCTAGTTTTAATCTGATTAAAACTTGTAAGTACATTTTCTCCTATTATAAGAGACTGGATTAAGTTATGATATAGAATTTAATATTTAAAATCTTTTCTTACATAACAGTACTCCATTTCTACTGCTCTTGGCAGTAAGTAGCAGTAGAAATGGAGTTCCTGAGGAGAAGCTGAACACTTACAAAAAGATAAAGAATTGAAAACGCAGAGATTAAGCGGAGAATGGGAGTGCAATCAGACATAATCGACTATATAGAGGAGAAGAGACTATCCTGGTACGGCCACGTCAGAAGAGCGGACAGAGGACGCTGGATAAACAAAATTACAGAATGGAGCCCGATCGGAAGAAGAGAGGAATACCCCGAAGGTCATTCAGAGACGAAATCGACGAGGCTATGGAGAAAAGAACCCTGCGAGATGGAGACTGGAATGACAGGGAAAATTGGATAAAACGGTTGAGTGAAGGAAGACAGTGAAAACTGTGGAAATCCTTAGTAGTAGTACATAACAGTACACATTTCATTATTTTAATTATTTGATATTATTTATTTTCTTGTGCAGTCTCTATTTTAAACATGTCTGTACGCCCCGCCCATAATCTACCAGGACAACAACTGAGCATTCGAATCACATAGTGTATCGGTGTTATGTTTACTTCTTAGTAATTTAGTTATTATGATAGTTGAAGCATTTAAGATAAAACCATTAATTCATACAAGAATGAAAGAAAAGACATTAATATATAACAGAAAGGGCAGTAAGCCTAAAATGATCTAAAAGGAAGGTATATAAAAGCTTTTTACTAAATACAAATCTATAACAACCTACATTCAAGAACTTACCTATTTCTGGTTTTACAAAGCAGTAGTCATGGTCTACACTTTCATTAAGAGCAGGTTTAACTTCAACTATTGTTGTATCCTTAGGGACGTCCTCAAGTTTAGCACAATAATTGTGATCTCTCATTATAATATCTATAATAAAACTATCAGACTTTTCAACATAACTATCTACAATATCTTCCATTTTCTCTTGATCGCCAAACATGGTGTCCAACTTATGCTGTTGCTGCTGGTAATTCTTGAAGTTATCCCAAATGTTCTGCATAACTATATTTGAAATTTCTTCCACGGGAAAGTCAGAACTTGTTTTGTCTTGTTGTAATATGTCTAAAGGAGGTAAATCTCCGGGAGGCTCAAGCTCGGTCACAGAAATTGGTTTTGTTTCTGGTTTAATCGGAGGTTCTGTTTCCGCTTCAGAATCACTGCTACTGTCACTTTCTGAAAGATTAAGAGCAGGGAGATCTTCTAATACGTCAATTTTCTGTTTGGGTTTTTCTTCCACTTTTTCTTCTTCTTTTTTGGGCTCCGCCTCATTGTTATCAACCTAAAATATAAAAACACATTTTGGAAACACATACATAGTTTAAACAATAAATAAAGGCATAGTATTGAAGTATCTGCCAGAATTAGTTAATCTAACACCAAGGGGAACATATATACCGAGGTACCAGAAGCATAGGGATATGAAAAGAAAAAGAAGATCCAAGTTCGATAGAGTTCTTTCTTGCATTAAGAGGAATCTACCTATGTATCCTCAGTTTTAAGAATCTATGACTTCCCTTACAAGAAAAAAAGGGCATAAAAATATGCGAAGAAGATCTATTGATCCCAAACTCAATAGGATTCTTAATATTGAATTCCTAAGGAGAGCTAACAGTTTCACAAGAACTCTATGTCAAAAGTATGTTTGAGAAGATAAAAAAACCTATAGAAAAAAATGGAAACAACATTTGGGGAAAATGGTAGAGAAATATATTAAGAAAAAAAAATTTTGGAAAGAAACCTATACTTTGGAAAGAAACCTAAACTTTAAGGCGAAACAGGCTCTAAACCCCGAAAGTAAAGAAGTTATTTTAAACAGTCAATGTACCTGTAACATATTATGTTAACACAAATTCAGTTCATTTACCTCTTCCTTTATTTCTTCAGCTATGGGCTCCTTCTGTTCTACTTTAGGCTCTTCCGGTGGCTCTAAATGCCTCTTCATGTGCTTCTCTAATAATTTTTTCGATATAAACTTTTCTTCACAGCCTTCAAATGTACAAGAATGTTTCTTTTCATCGGTATGCAACCGTTTATGCACTTTAAGCGCAACTGCACTTCGAAGTGACAATGCACATTCATCACAACTGAAACTAGCAGGGGGAACACAGAAGTGGTAGACATGACGCCATTTCCTCTGTAGACATTTTTTGCACTGGACGCTCTCTGTGCCGTGTTTCCAGAAGAGATGCCTTTGAATATCTGATTTATTTCTATATGCAATTGCACACCTGTAAGTTTGAAAATTTAAGATTGATTCCAGATAATTACTGTTTACATAATATTTACTATTAGTGAAATTAACTAATTATTATGTGATAACTTTCAAGTATCGTAAGTACCATAATTTGCATTACTACTATGTATTCTACCTTAGTATTTAAATTACATTTTTAATAAATGTATTAACTTCTGCAAAACCTTGTTTTCCATATTTTGTTTAATTACTGCACTATAAACTATAACTATCTCTTTATACATTTACCTGATACCCAGGTTAAAAGAAACACACTAATAGATAAACATCACATATTGTATTTTCAGTCAATATTTTTCTTTTGAAAAACATTTTTATTTATATTGATAAATTAATATTGATTACTAGAGTGTTTTACATTATTAAAAATCAAACAAATTAAAACTCTTTATTACTGTTTTATTACTGTTTTAGATGAATAGAATAGACGAATGGAATATCATACAAATGACAATTACCAATACAGTAAGGGAAACAGACGAATCCTCAAGCAAAAGAAACAAGGAATGGTTTGACCAAGATGTTCAACAAATAATAAATAGCAAAAATACAGCTAGACAGAAATGTCCACAAAGGAATTACCAATTGAATAGAAGAGCATATGAGGCACTAAGAATATGTAGAAGGCAAAAGAGAAAAATGTTAAATAGAAAAATATAACAAATTACAAACTATAATAACAGATAAGAGACTATACTACGTTCCACGTTTAGAAAATAACATTGCGGAGATAGGCCCATGTATTTCTTATGGACGATAGCAACGCGGCGTTGCCACGACACACACAAGCACAATTTAGGGTTGTATAATTTGTATTTTTGTTTCCACAAACATTAATTAAATTAATGTTTTTTAACGTAATTGACCAAAAGTGCCAATTCGAAACAAGAGATGAAAAGTAGGGAAAATGATTTTAATTAGATAAATAGTATTTACAAAAGATAATTTTATTTTATCTTATTTTAATTATAGTAACGACAGTTTATTTGTTTTTCGGTGAGAATACGATATGCCATGAATCATAGAAATCAGTAGAAAATATTGACCAGCTTGGAATGCGTATATCTAATTACTAATTGCAACTTAAAATAATACGATGTGCGTATGTCAGCTATTTTATGTCGTTCTCTGACTACATAATGATAATAAGGCTTTTATTTAGTAGTTATTCTGACTTTACAGTTAAGTGTTAATTAAAAATGAAAATTCAAAAATTAAGCAAAGGAAATATCTTAGACATCCGTGCAAAAGAGAGTGTCTGAGAGTTTTGGCAACACTGATCTAAATAAGCGTAATGTTATTTTCTTAACTTGAAACAAAGAATAGGACATTTTACAAGTAAACCAAGCCATAAGCTCAAGAATACATGACGTAACAGTGTTAAATGTCATCTACAAGGTATTATTAGGAATTATATATATCTTGAATTATGTTCGAAAGAAATATTTGGTGAATACCAATGTGAAAAACTCAAAACAAAATAGATTTTGCAGTCGCTGGTAACAGATAATGGTACGACGTAAAATAGAAATAAGTTTTAAAAAGGAGAGGTATAAAATGATTAAAAAGAAGAGCAAATCAAAACCATGGATGAAACCATCAGATGTTTTCAGCAATGTATTTCTGACATTCTTAGTCCTGAAACAGAAAATAATATAAACGACTTAAATAATAAATTAACAAATGCTTTACTGGAAAGTCAAAACAAATTCTGTCAAACTCAAAAAGAAGAGAAGATTAGCCAAAATACCAGACAACTAATGTAGAAAAGAAGAGAAATGAGAAGCGAGACTGAAACTAAAGCTGACTAACTACAAAAATTAAATAAAGAAATATGCAAAGCTGTTAGACAAGACACTCGAAAATACAACCAAGAACAAATCGAACATACCACTGAGAACAATAGAAGTATGAAAGTATTGATAAAAATACTAAGAACGGGAAAAGGCAGAAAATAAAGATTAAAGATAGAAATGGTCATCTTACAACCAACAGAGGAAAGGCTTAAAATAGGTAAAGACATCTACAAGTTGCTGTAAGTTAACACTACAGGAAATCACAATAGATGAAATAAAATTAGCCCTAATAAAAGCTAAAAATAACAAATATCCAGGCAAAGATTGTGTAGTTACTGATACAATCAAACTCGAAGGCACTTGAATACTTAAGAAAATAAAAAACCTTTTTTTATTGTACAAAAGAGGATATCCCCATGAATTAGAAAACTACAGACCTATAAGTCTTCTTAGTCACCTATACAAACTCCTTACCAGAATAGTAATGAATCGACTTTAGAAAAACTTGATTTCTACCAGTAAATAGAGAAAGCGGGATTTCGTATCGGATTCGGAACAAAAGATCACCTACAGAGCATTAAAACGGTAATAGAAAAAACTATGGAATATAATCGACCACCCGTTCTGGCTTTTGTAGATTTCCATAAAGCCTTTGATAAGGTAGATTTTGACAAAATCCTGGAAGCACTACAAGCATGCCGCATTTACTACCGATATCCAAGGTTAATTTACAATACATATAAGAACGCAACTATGTCGATGAAACTACATAAAAACACGGATCATACCCAATCAGTCTGACAATGTGATACCTTATAGCCTAAACTGTTTACTGCAGTACTAGAATATGCTTGTAAAAAACTTAACTGGAAAGAGAAAGGCCTTAACACTCACGGTAAAAGATTAACAAAATTGAAATTCGCAGAAGACATAGTTTTGTTCTCAGACAACCTCAAATCTACGAAACGAAATTCATGACAAACCTAGTACTTGCGGAAATATCAATATTGGAGACAACGAAGTAGAACTGCTGGAAAAATACATATATCTTGAATACGAAATAAAGATCAGAAGAGACAACCAATCATGAGAACTATGAAAAAGAATAAACCTAGTATGTGTGTTGCCTATGATGACCTATGGTGTCGAAACTTTGACATTGACAAATATAACTACTAAAAAGCTGCAAATAGCTCAGAGGAAAATGGAAAGGTCAATGCTGAGTATATCGCTTCGTGACCGAGTTGAAAGGTGGACGAAAAGATTGCTTGAGTGGGGACCGAGGTTAGACAAAAGAAGTAGAGGAAGACTACCTACTAGTTGGACTGACGATCTCAAAAAAAGGCAAGAAATTGGATGAAAAGTGCTCAAGGACAAAAATGAGGGAGGCCTATGTCCAGAAGAGGACATAAAGGGCTTGGTGATGATATTGTTTCAAACAGGCGTTTGATGGAGTAGATAGACAAAAAATATTAAAACAAGCATCCATATTAGGAATACCGAAAAAGTTAGTTAAACTTACACAAATGATTTTGGTGGTTCCAAAGACATGGTGAGAATAGATAGAGATATGACAGAGGCATTTGACATTGAAACTAGTGTTAGGCAAGGCGATGCATTATCAACAACACTTTTAATTCGATCTTTAGAAGATATTATCAGACAATTAGATATGTTGTATTAATACAAGATCCACTCATGCGGATGATTTGAAACTGGAAGCCGCTGCATGTGGTCTAAATATAATTGAAGTATATGGAGTGAGCAAAGTCGAATCGATACGAGAATCTGAAGGTAGATAACCATACCTACGAATATTCCGCCACCCTTCCTTACCTAAGCTCAATAATAGATGACATCAACAACATCAGTCAAAAAATACAAGCATGGATTCTTGTCAAAATTCAAAATTAAGTTACTGAATCGTAAACAGTAATTAGACCAGTGGTTACATTTGGATGTGAAACATTGGACACTTTCAACCACTGATGAAAATCAATTGAGAATATTTGAGCGCAAAATATGAAAAAAGATATTTGGACCAACTCGTTGTAGCGATGGTTCGTGGAGAATAAAAATGAACTATGAGCTGGATTAATTAATGCAGAGCGCAGATATCATTAGATTTGTTAAGTCACAAACACTAAACTGGGTTGGCCACTTAAAAAGAATGCCAGATAATTGAGCAGTAAAAGTAATCCAGAGATGGAAATCCCAAGGAAATAGAACAAGAGGAAGGTTTCATAAAAGGTGGATAGGCAATATAGAGGAAGATCTTAAAACCATGAACATCAGGCAGAGGCACAGGAAAATAACTAATGTAATAACCCTCAGCTTGTTGAAAGAGCTGAGCTTTGACAAATGTTGTCTATATGTTCTATTATATGCAACTATACAGGGTGTCCCATAATTAATTGGACATTAGCTAATGGGTGATAGCTGACATCAAAATAAAGCGTTTGAGCTCAAATTGCTTAGGAAAAATGTTGCTAGTTTTCGTTATACAGGGAGATACATTAATATTTTTTTATATTATTTTTATGGATATATTGAAAACTATTCAACCGATTTAATGCTTAATTATTAACTGTATGCTTAATAAGAAAATGATATTAGTTTTACCATTGGCACTAGGTGGCGCCACCTACTGTAACATTGGTTCATTAATGGGGCCATAATTTTTTTGTCCGCCCTGTATAAACATTCTAGGAAAAAAAACATGAAATAACATTCAATTCTACACAAAAAAGGTATTCTTGTTTCAAATCAAAAAAGTACACCTTTTTCGAAATAAATGTATTTTGTTTTTCGCAAAATAAGCAGGTACTTAGGTATGCTGTGAACTTAATGGCAAAGTCAAGGCGTAAGTACGAATTTGTTTACTATTTATTGTCAAAGTGCAGTGCGAGTCTATTATTAAAAAAGAATATGTGTGTACTTTGTACGAAGGTAAGAAGTTATACTTCTATTATATGACTTCAACGAAATTAATATATTTTAAACAGTTTATTTGTGTTTTATTTAAATATTAAACTAATTTTAATACTTACAAGTTTCCTAAAAATTTTCTTAAATAATACCGAAAATAAAAAAAAGTAAGCAAGGCAATAACATGACATGTTATGTTCCTAAGCGGTCACCCATCCAAACTATAACCCCTGTAGACACTGCTTGACTCTCGTTTTCGAGCGACAACTGGTGTAGCCAGTGTCCTATGGCCGTAAAATTCATACTAAAGTGAATTATTTTGACAGATTATATCTAAAAATAATATTAAGATTGCCTTTTAATCTTCTTATCATCATATTTTAATATCTATTATCCTATATCCGACGAAGACAAATTCAAAGACACAAAAATTATAAAATATATTTTTTTCACACTTTATTTGCACTGATACATACGTAAATTCAAAGATTTAGCAACTAGCACATTTTTATAAAAATTCACTCTCAACATTTTTCCCAATTGCACCTAAAAATGTATATCTTCAAAAACATGAACTAAAATTCAATTCTACACAAAAAAGGTACCTAGTCTTCTTTCACATAAAAAAAGTACCGTATATAAGACCGTATATATACCGAAATAAGTCTTTCACCGTTTTCGAAATAAACGTATTTTGTTAATGATGCATGTCTCTATTTAATTTTTTGCAAAACAAGTATGCTTTGAACTTAATGACAACGTCAAGACGTAACTACGAATTTATTTATTATTAGTTGTCAAAGGTAACTACGAATTTATTTATTATTAGTTGTCAAAGTGCAGTGCGAGTCATTATTTGTCAAAGTGCTATTAAGTTTTTTATAAACCACTTAAGATAAAGGAAAAATGCCACGTCATAGTGAATTTTTTAATGTAGAAATGCGCGATATGATCTGTTTGTATGCCCAGGAAAATTTTTGTTCTCGTAAAGCAGCTGAACTCTATTTCGAACTTTATCCCAATAGAAGGCAACCAAACCATAAAACTATTAGATCATTGTTCGACAGATTAGGCGAAACAGGGTCATTTCATCCCAAAAACAGGAATGCTGGAAGACCAAGAGTAATTGATGCGGATATGGAGGAATAATACGGACAGAAAATCTGTATCCGTATCGTTTTACTCCAGTACAAAATCTTTTACCACAGGATTTTCCAGCAAGGCTCCGATTTAGTCCGTTTGTGATGGGGCGGCATTTAGACAATCCAATGTTTTATAATAAAATTTTATTTACCGATAAAGCCACATTTACTAGAAGGGGTGTATTTAACTGGCGCAGTAGCCATACCTAAGCGACAGAAAATCCTCATGCATTTCAAGAACATCATTTTCAACACGAATTTTCCATAAATATCTGGTGTGGCATATTTGGGGATTGTTTTGTGGACCATTCGAATTACCAACTAGGCTTGACGGAGTAACATATCTAAATTTTTTGAGAAAAGATTTACCAACTCTTTTAGAAGACATACCTCTAAATTTGAGACGGAACTCTTAGTATATGCATGATGGTGCACCACCACATTATAGCCTAGAAGTTAGAAATTATCTAGATGAAATTTATCCTCAAAGGTGGATTGGTAGAGGTAGTGTATACCCATGGCCAGCACGCAATCCCGAACTAAATCCCCTAGACTTTCACTTGTGGGGCTACCTAGTCACTTGTTTATAAAAAAAAAAAATAACCGTCAAGAGTTATGACAAAATATTGTAGAGGGAGTTAACGTAATTAGGGCCCAAAGAAACTCACTATTTAAAATAAGACAAAACTTACAAAAAAGATTTAGATTATGTAGTTTATCTAATGGTGCACATTTTGAACACTTATTGTAATTTTTTTCGTTTATTTTTGAATTATTCACTTTGTTAATTGTTTTATATTCACTTCATTGTCTAATTTAATTTCTGATTTTTTTTTAAATTTGTTACTGAGTCAAAGGTTTAATAAAAATAATTGTTTCAATCATATGCATTTTGTTTGCAAACATTATCTACTACTAATACATTTAATATTCACTTTTATTTAAGACCTTTTGAATTATTTACATAAGATTTTGTAAATTTTTTTTATTTTATGCACGTCCCTAAAAAATACGTTTATTGCGAAAACTATGTACTTTTTTGATTTGAAACAAGAATACCTTTTTTGTGTAGAATTGAATGTTATTTCATGTTTTTTCCTAGAATGTTTATACAGGGCGGAATGTTATAGTAGGTGGCGCCACCTAGTGTCATCGGTAAAACTAATATCATTTTCATATTAAGCATACTAAGTAATAGCAAGATACCAAATTTTACTTAAATCGGTTGAATATAAAAAAATAATAATGAATCACCCTGTAGAACGAAAACTAGCAACATTTTTCCTAATCAATTTGAGCTCAAACGCTTTATTTTGATGTCAGCTATCACCCATTAGCTAATGTCCAATTAATTATGGGACACCCTGTATATATCTTTCCAAAATAATAATTTTTTTTAGAGATATTATTCTTATAATAATTTTAATGCAGTTAAACAAAGACTACAAAGAATTATTATTTTGGAAAGATATATTTAGTTGCATATAAATAGAAAGCATAGGCATTTGTCAAAGCTCAGCGCTTCCAACAGCTGAGATTAATTACATTAGTTCTACCGAAGAACTAATGTAATTAATCTCGACAAGTTTTCGAGCGATTTTGTTTAATCTTTAAAATAAACAAGTTGACGGAGTAGGGTAAAACTTTATCCTCTCACTGTATACATAAAAATAATATCAGTATTTCATTTACATATTCCAAGTTCTTACCACTGTCTATAACAATTTTCCCTTCTTCCAAGTGGTAAATTACTTTAAACCCAATGTATTTGATACATTAAGATTAAGAGAAAACTAACCCATTTATTTAAAAACATCTCAGTCTAAAATACACCACCTGCATATATCTTTACAATATTGTTAAATGTTTTTAAGGTTTAAAATAGTTTTCACTTTGAATATTATTTTTTTTAATTAAAAGCTAATATGACAATCTGGGCTGAAGACTTCAATGGCCTTCTAAGTGGTTGTTTAATAAAAAACATTTACATATTTATGACTCAATTGTTTTTTTATAATTATGTATTTGCCATTTTCATTCATTTTCCCAACAAACGAGGAAATGTGATACTTATAAAAAAAATAATTATGTAATGCATTATTAAAGTAACTTAATAATCGTCATACCTGTAACAGAAATGATGTAACTTATGCTTCCATACATGATTTGACAATCGATGCTGAGTATGACAGCTGTCCAAGCACACATCACAAACATTATGTTTCTTCCTAAGATGTACCATCAATCGAAAAGAACTAGGCAGATCATCATGCACACACATACAACACTTAAATTTTAATTCATAGTCTAAAATGTACACGCCAGGACACAAGTGGCACACTAGTTCACTGTAAGTATAGAAGTTTGATTTACACATTATACAAAGTAACAGACTTTTTGAATGGAATCTTCGATTGTGAAGATAATGTTCTTTGTGAACTGTCGTGCTGAAATGGCATTGGAAACATTCAAAGCCATGGGAGAATGTTATTGCTTCATCACTAAAACTGGATTCTAAGCTGAAGAATGCTGAAGATAGCTCTTCCAAACTCTCCGTTATCCTAAAAAAAAGTAATAATTTTAGACACAGAGTGTCAGCGAAATAACAAATCTGTTTTATTTTTAATAATTATATTTTTTTATCAGATTCATATTCATAACCTTGCTCGTGATCTTTTTTTCTACTACTACTAAGGATTTCATCAGTTTTCACTGTATTCCTCTCTCAACCGTTTTCTTTCCTACCAATCTTCATCTTGTAGGTTTCCATTGCCTCCTCTAATAATTTATCTCTAAGCAATCTTCAGTATCTTCCTCTTTTCCTTCCTAATGGGCTCCATTCTGTAATATTGTTTATCCAGCAACTTGTCTCTACCAGATTGGTTGTTTTCTCTATATAATCGATTATGTCTTATAGCAATAGACAACTATACTATTGAACGTGGATGCCTTCACATATCTGGGCACAGAAATCAATCAGAAGAATTCCGTAAGTAGCGAAATTAATGTACGTATTTCCAATGGAAATGGTACATAGTATGCTAATAAAAGATTGATGGCATCGAAATTATTAGACAAAAGAACCAAAATGGCTATCTACCGAATTTTGATTAGACCGAATTTACGATATTACCGAATTTGTATTAGAATACAAACAGTAAATTTACTGTTTGTATTTTGAGAACGATTTCCGAAGTGGAAATTGAAACGTCAATAAACGTATTTTTATCTTTAATTGTGGCTTATTCCCAGTTAAATAGTAATTAACTTCTGTAATTGTCGCATTTATGGAAGCTGCCTTTTTTGTGTATTATCGTTATTGTAGATTGTGTTCATTCCATTGTCTGGAATACCATATTTTAATGGAAAAGTGAAATAATTTGATTCTGGTGTCTTATGAAGCTTTGTCCATATAAGACCAATCATAGCCAGGAACAGAGCAACGAACAAAAGTTCGTTGAGGAAAAGAGATGGAAAGTGATAACCTTCTATGGAGGCATCAATCAATCATATAATTGAACAAGTATAATTGGTTCGATGGAGTAGAGAATAAGTTTTAAATTAACCTCTAGTAACGAGGTTTCAGCTAAATTTCATAGTTTCATAGCTTAATATAGAAAAAAATCATCATGATTTGTAATTGTATAAAAACTTACCTATTTACAAAATTTTGGGGTATCAGTTCTTCGGCAGTAATGCTATTGACTATAGCTGAAAACCTATGCTCTGCTATACAATGCAATCCCAACTGCTTCCCATTAACAGAGATCTTTCGTGCGTGATTACAATATATACAAGTAGGTGCAGTCATTTTCAAGCACTTCTGCAACAAAACTCGAGGATCAAACTTATCTAATGGCTGTTCTAATTGTAACTCTATAATTGCAGTATCTGGCCCGGCAACAACGAATTGTGGTGTTGGTTTATTAGCAGGTTCTTCTTGTTCTGATTCTTTCGGTTCCTCTTTAACTTCATCAATATCTTGGTCTTGGTCTTTAGTAGAGTGATGTTCGTCCCCGTTTTCCATATCATTTTCATATTCACTTTCTATTTGATCTACTTCCATAGTAAGCTTTTCACTATCATTGCTGTCTTCGGGATCTGCTTCATAAGCGTCAAATTTTGGCAATTTAAGTGATAGCTTCGGAACTTTTCGAGTATCTTCTTTATATTCTTCAGGTTCTTCTTTAATGGTATCATCCTCTTCGTCTGCTTGATTTTCATTAAAAGAATTTTGATCATTTGATTTGTTGCTTGAAGTATCATAATTGTCATTACAATTATTAGTATTTTCATGATCTATAGTCAAATCAGGACTATGAATTTCATCGTTATGATCATCATTATGATTTAAGTTTTCTAAAAAATCGTTCTGTTCTTTAAACATTTTATCAGATGTATTATTTTCTTTTGAAGAGTAACTATTTTCATCTATTTCTTCGTTTTTTATATTCGTATCTATCTTAGGAACGTCGTCATCTTTGTATTTTTCATTTTCAATGATGTCTGTAGTATTTTCTAAAACAAAATCAATAATTAATCAGGTAAAATATATTTATGTACATAGCAACACTTGCAGTAGTTGATATTTTTTGGAATAATCACAAGAATCCTGAATATATAAAAATACCTAATACTCAACAATATTATTTAATGCATATATTTGCCAGCACTTTAATAGATTTTCTAACAGTATCAAAATTAAACAAAAAGAAACTAAAATTTTCTAAAAGAGAAAGTTTATAAGAAAACAATGGTTTACATTTAAATCTTATAAAGGAATATCCTGTATAAATTATCAGAATATAATACTATTTTTAGAATTCCAAAATTGTGGTCATCACATTACCTGAACAATTTTTATAGAATGATTACTATTTGTAGTACCCGACTTGACATTAGTGGTACTATTAATATTTTTTATTAATTAAAGTATCCGATCTTTACAGTATTGTTATGATCCGTTTTCAAATATGGGTCACAGAGTTTAACCTGTTCGATGTTATACTTACTCTGTTTTCTCGGAATGCTACTATTATAGATGTTGTTTACACGTCATTTTCATAGGAGAGTGACCTTCAACGTGGATTATCTCAACAGAAGAGTACCGATCAGCTCGACTTCTTTTGACAAACTGAAGAGTAGCCTGTGGTTGAATTGTTGCAAGGCTCTAGCAGACATTAAGCGGATCTGTACAGTTTTGGGGTATCAGCGTAAGATGTACGCCAAAATTAAAAGTGAGTGAAATTGATGAAATTGAGATAGATGGTCAAAATTTTATGACAATTTGAACAATAGAATAGACTTTATCTTCAGCAGGATTAGCAAGCATTATTCCATACTATTTTGTATTCTCTATATTAAAAAATGAACCAAATTCCTTGCTCACTTCTACGCGTTATTTAATTATTTAAAATTAATTAAAGATTCGTAACTCTTCTAATATATTTATAGAATATATTAAACACGAGGGGTAAAATGCAGTTTATATACAAATATCATGTATACAGTTATTTATAGTGCATGATATTTATTACATTAAAGAATAAAGATTTCCATACAGAATTATATAAAATTTAATTCCATACAGAATTATATAAAAATCAACAAAACCATGACGAGCAACTAACAGAAAAGTTAGAAAAATCAGGAAAAAGATTAGTCAACCAAGGATCGGAATTGATGCCTGATATATCAACAGACGAAATAAGTAACGCACTGAAGAAAATGAAAATAAATAGTGCCGGGAGATAATATATCAGATAAGATAATATCATTATAGAAGTCGTAAAGATTAGGGAAGACAGACTTTTAGAGAATATAAAGAAACTGTTTAACTTATGTCGGCACCAAAGTAAAACACCTACAAGATCGCACAGTGCACATCAACACACCTCGAAAATTACCGACCCACAACATCTGCAAGTTATTTACAAGGATAATAACAAACAGGCTGGAAATAAAAGTAAATGTTTACCAACCTAGGGATTTGGTCCTCAAAATTGCTAGGGACAACTAAACTGCGAAATGCAAACAAGAATCACTTTAGCATTGGCCACTGTGATGTTATTCCTTAAATATTAGAATTCACATATATAAAATATTATAATTCATACCCGTGTAACATTTAACATTATGTTTATATAAATATATTTAGTAATTTGAATCAAGGACATTCATAAATAACATACTCTAATTAGAATTGTTAAATCAGCGCTATTGCCGATCACCACATGCTTGGCGTAGGTCATGAACACACTTGACATACTAATAAGTAAACCTTTGCTGATATAGCAAGGACTTCTATAAAAGCTCCAACAATCATTCTCTCAGAGATCTTAATTAATGTACCGTCAAAATGGCAAGTTAATGCCGCATATAGTCAGCGTCAATTAAGTACTGAAATATTTAGATTAAGTAACATTAAAGAGTGTACAGTAGTGTTAAATAAATGGTTAACTAAGTTACAACAAGTTATTTACCACCCCACAACATTATTTATTACATGGCGATCCTGAAGTGGTAGAAACCAGGAATCTTCATCCAGAGATGTTGAGAAGAAAATCCCACTGGAAGTTTAGATGGAAAATAGCATACTAGATGTTATATGGAACCAATGCATTTCGAGCTGGGAAAATGCATCAACAGATAAGGAAATTCCGGACCAGACCAGCCGAGAGCCCCGCGACAGCATTCCAGCTAAGGACAATGGACAGTAAATGGGAAAATGGACTATGGAAAATGGATAAATGGAGAATGGACAAAGGTGAAGTGATAAGGACCATATGTTAAATGTATTATGTGAGTAAATTTATTTTTTTATCCCTTATATAAATACAGTCTAACAAATTGAAATTAATAATTATTATTTGAGAAAGTTATTAGAAATATAAAGAATTTAACTAGTTCAGAATGTTGAATATACAATTTTTATTGCTTTGAAAGTAGAGTATATAATTTATTTTTAAGTTTTTACTAAATAACTATTTATATTGTTTTAACGAAACAAATGTGTCATAACATTTTTATTTGTTTAAGGTATATTTTTAAGAATATTTATATTTGACCATGAAAATACACCGACAGATCGGAAATATTAGATATTATTATAACGATATACAATACGATATAAATTTGCTTAGATGACAAATTCTTCAAATAATATAGACGAAGAAATTTGATATGACTTTTTATTTTACTATTTAAATTAGAATATTTAGAATTATTGTTACATTTATAAGGAAGAAAAATAATTTAGAAGAACTTTTAAAGACAATTGACCATGGCGTCAGAAAAATTTTCATTGCGTTGGAACAATTTCCACGAAAATATAAGTTCAGGAATAAATGCATTATGGAAGAGTCAAGATTTTGTAGACGTAAACGCTTTCAGCACAAGGAAAATGCATAAAAGCGCATAAAATGGTTCTTTCGGTTTGTAGCCCATATTTTAAGGAAATTTTTAAGTCAAATCCCTGTCAACATCCTATAGTAATTTTGACAAACGTGACTTACGAAGCACTAAGAGACTTACTACAATTTATATACCATGGAGAAGTACAAATTAGACAAGAAGATTTAAATACCTTTATTGAAACGGCCGAATCATTGCAAATACAAGGACTCACTGGAGATAGAAAAGTCGTAAACGATAATAGCATTATGGAAATTTCGGATAAAGAATATACACAAAATGTAGAAGATTTTAAGCCAGTTTCTTTACCTATGACAAAGAAACAACATATAAAGAAGGAAGAACATAGCGACATAGAGCAAGAAATAAGTATGGCTCTTACAATTAACGAATTTTTAAATATCGCAAGCAAGGTGTTACCCAGCGAGTTTGATGGAAAAGCAGGTAAACTGCAGTCATTTTTAGATGCACTAGAACTACTTGAGAAAATAGCGATAGGACACGAGGAAACAGCGATACCATTAATAAAGACAAGATTAACTAATAAGGCCAGAAACGTTATAACTACAGAAGATACAATCGCAAGAATAGCAGAGGCACTGAAGAGAGAACTGAGAGGCGACAGTCCGAAGACGATAATAGCTAAATTGGCGAAGAAAAGACAAGGACATAAAGATGCAGAGGTCTATGCATCTGAAGTTGACGAATTAGCGGAACAGCTAAAAGTTGCATACGTAGAGGAAGGAATGCCATTGGAACTAGCGAAAAAATACACAACAGAGGCAGTAGTAGCTACAATGAAACGTAATGCCAGCACAGACAAAGTCAAGATAATATTAGAGGCAGGCAACTTTACAACCCCACAAGAGGTAATGTACAAATTTTTATCGATCGACGAGACAAAAGATAGCATATCACAAGGGAACAAAATTAGGGTAACCTTATAATAATGCTGAGGTAAGGTTAGGTTACTAAATTTTTAATAAATGTAAGGAAAATATACCAACATTTGTATAAATATGCATACGGTAGCATAGGTAAACAGTACTTATTTGAGGTTGCAAAATTTCTCTTTTTCCAAAGGGAAGAGAGAGAGGAGTGAGACAGTTGCAAAAGAGAAATTTTTTTCCGTAAGGGGGATGGTGTGATGTTATTCCTTAAATATTAGAATTCACATATATAAAATATTATAATTCATACCCGTGTAACATTTAACATTAGTTTTATATAAATATATTTAGTAATTTGAATCAAGGACATTCATAAATAACATACTCTAATTAGAATTGTTAAATCAGCGCTATTGCCGATCACCACATGCTTGGCGTAGGTCATGAACACACTTGACATACTAATAAGTAAACCTTTGCTGATATAGCAAGGACTTCTATAAAAGCTCCAACAATCATTCTCTCAGAGATCTTAATTAATGTACCGTCAAAATGGCAAGTTAATGCCGCATATAGTCAGCGTCAATTAAGTACTGAAATATTTAGATTAAGTAACATTAAAGAGTGTACAGTAGTGTTAAATAAATGGTTAACTAAGTTACAACAAGTTATTTACCACCCCACAACATTATTTATTACACCACATATGGAGCTCTATCGGACATCTTTAAAAGCAACATGCCAAATTATTTGAAAAAAGACGTTCGACCAATGTGTGCTTCCAATCATGACTTACAGCACCGAAACACTTTCCTTAAGCCAGGTTACAGCAACCAAACTCAGAGCAGCCCAATGACGAAAGACACGCTCGCTACTTGGACTGACTCCAGTTAGAGACAAAAGTTAAAAACGAAGAAATAAGTGGAACTGGGCGAGCCATATGGCCAGAATGAATAACGGGCGGTGGACCTAAAAATTTACAGTGTGGAGACCACAAGCTGACAAAAGAAGCAGAGGTAAACTACCTACAACATGGACAGACGATGTAAAAAATTTCGCTGGGAATTGGCTGCAGGAAGCTCAAGAGCATCAGCACTGGAAGAAATTAGGGGAGGCCTATGTTCAACTTTGGATGCAGAAGGCTGGATGATTATTATTAACCATAAATCTTGGGGAAGTAATAGGGCATCTGTTGAACAATTCATCTATAAGAAG